GAGGTTACTCATGGAATAGTTAATTTCGAGCAATGTTAATTCTTTTTTATTTGTATTTCCCCCTTTAATATGAAAAATAAAAGTTCTGTTTCTTACAGGTGGTGCAAAAAATGCTATTGTTCCCTTTCTTTTAATTTTTGGGATAGATACACATTTTAAATGTTTGGTATTGTATAGTTTAACATTGCTCTCGCATAGTTTGCATGAAACTTCACAAATTATCTATCCTTCAACTACCTTTGATTAGTTAACTGCCTATTCTATGCAGAAAAAGGCTAGCTTTCATATGGAAACATAACTGAGCAGTTTAATAAAAGGAAAAAGAAATTCATCTCTTGAAATCTTGTACATATATTTTTGCAAACCATAAAGAATTGTGTTTTCCAAAATTGTTGATTTTGACTAGGTCTGTTTCTTCCCACCTAGGGATATTTCATAATGACAACAGTTAAAGATGTGGAAAATCTGACATTTTGCACAACTGAAGCATTTTTACTGAGTGTCAGTTAAGTTATTTAGAAATAGGGGCTAATAAATTCAGTTTTAGCTTTGGAAAGTAAATCTAGGTATCCCTGAAGGGCTATCTGTTTTGAGACTCCAGTGCATTTTATTGGCTTTTCCTTTAATTAATGGACATGATCCCATCAACATTTTAATATTCTTAAATTGCATGTCCATTTTCTTAAGTTTTTTCCTTAATATATTTGTTGAGGCAGTGAGTAAATTTTGATAGACTTTTATCTCACAGAAAGTCAATGTTTTAGATTCTATTTCTTAGGTCCTTTCCGGGGGTTCAGCTGGGGTTTTCTACCTCATTAAATATAGTAGCAGCTGAAAAATCGAATCCATGATCTTTCCCAATGTGAAAGAAAGAATACCACATTACAGTTTCTTTTTTGTTTCCTCAACCCCTTTATATTTCATAAAATATTGACGAATTTCCTTTTTTGTTTAAAAATAGAAACCCCTCAAACATTAAACTTTGTGTATTATATTGTAGCCCCCTTTTTTTTTTTTTTTCTTTTTCTGAATTCTTGGTAGGTAGTATGAGCTGTACTATTCCTCTCACTGTATCCCATGAAAAACTTCTCATGCTGATGTTTTCACTAAGTTGTTCAACATTCATACTAAGCAACAGGTATCTTGAAATAGCATGATAGTTTTTATGTTTTAATTAAAGAAAAAACGGGGAAGACCATTTCGTTTTTGTTTTTGTTTTTAATCAGGACTGTGATATTGCTTATGCTACCTTTCTATCTGACCAAATATTCCATTCACAAATTCTCCATGGCAAAATTTATCTTCCTCTGTGTTTTTGGTACATGTAGTAACCACTGTTTTCTCTAGATGCTTCCTTAAATTAATTTAAAATGAAGATGAATTAAAAGATGTCATAAACAGTTCTTGAATTGTTTCAGATATGAATAAAAGGATGTATGAAATTTCAAGTCTTCCTAATCTCTCATCTTTTACATAGAAAAGCATCCAACAGTTTGATACAAATGGATCGTTTGAAGAAGGAAAAGGGAAGAAAGATGCGTGACAGATATACGATAGGTTCTTATTACTCCTCTTTCTACAATATTCACAGGGTAATTGTTTTACATGCATGCTGCTGCCTAAAGACAGTCAATGATTCACCTCTGTCCTTTGAGTAATTTCCTTACTAAAGTTATTCTAGGCATCAAGTCTTTTGGCACCTGTTAAATGCTAATATCTTTTACTCACAAAGCAATATTTTCTATTTCACTAAGTGCATTGGACGCACTTACTGGTGTCTATTTAATGTCACATGTCACCATTACCACTGCTTCTGTCCAAAAGCTATCTAGCAGTAGCTGGGAACATAAGCTCTCCTCTAGCTGTTCAGAGTCCATTAAAACCATGCTACCTGCTTTAGTGGTCTCTGAGCTATCCTCCAGCTTTGCAAGGATCTGGTTTTGTCATCTACCTTCTTAGTAGACCTGACCTCATTTTGAGTTACTTCTTGTCATAAGGTGAAGCCTGTCTCCAAGCACCACTCAGATAAATGAGACCATTATTATATCTGTCAGTTTTAACCGCTTAGATGACTCTTGTATGTGCAAGAAAGTAAGAGAAACAAACAAACAAACGAAAACAGGGATGGTGGAGCTGTCAACTTTCCATTCTTGGAAGACATTTGGGAAGGAGACCGGAGGGTACAGTAACCCTGGTAACAATTACTATTCAATCTTAGATATGTGGAAAGATTGTTCTGAGCCTACTTGGCTTGTGAGGCATTTGGCTGCTCTCAATCTAATTTTAAAAGGCAGTAAGTAGTTAAGATGTTAGCACATAAGGCATGCAGGAAGGGCTACCTCCTACCCTCCAGGGTTCTCTGAAACGTCAGAGACAGTCTAAGGTAGAAGTATCCACATTGAGCCCAGACTGTCAGAAGGATTTAGATAGTCAAGTGGTTGGAGGGAGTGTTCTGTTCCTTATGTTTCTCCCTGGTACTGGTCTAAACAGGGCTGGAGGACTGACTGATGAGATGGAGAGGTATTGGCTGTCACAGAATTACTCTCCATCTCCTCTCTATGGGTCGATGATGTTTAGTAAAGTGTATAATAATATGCCATTCTGAGAAATGTGTTATTTTGCTCCACTGCCAATAACAGAACACACAACAAAATGAAGCGTCAGTGAAATAACCTCACTAACAAAATGCAAGCAGTAACATAATGAAGTAAAATTATTTTAAAATCAAAATGTGAAGGGAAAACTAATTTATTACTACTATACCTATAATCCCTTAGATGTTCATTTTCTGATAATTTTTCTTAATTCATTTTATTTTATTTCTAGTGCAGCATTTATTACTCTGCCCTTGTAATCTATCTGCCTGTGTATATCCATATTAAAGAGGGACTGGATAAGAATTCTTACTACCAGATAGTCCTCATGGGTGGGAATAAAAGTGCTTTCTCTTCACACTTTTTTTTTTTTGCTACTTGCCATCACTTCAAGCAGAAGAATACTAAACCTAACATTTAAGTCTTTTTTGGAGATAATCTTCAAAAATTTTGCTTTCTATAAACAGCAAATTTCTTAGCTGCTAATTCTAGCAGCTCTCTTTAGGAGCATGCCTCTCTTTAGGCATGCTGTGTATGCCACATGTAGTAGGGAAATTTTGGTCTAACTCAAATATAAGGGCTGTGTTTTTATGCTACTGAGGACAGTCACAATCATTTTGTCATGTCATGAACTGTACTAAAGTTAACACAACCATATGGATTACACCACTCCAATCCAACGCCCATCTCTTTGGAACACTGGATAGCGTTTGTGGTGATTTATGTTAGAAAATCACTAATGCTGCTCCTCCCTCAGGGCCTCTGTACAAGATTTTGTGGTGAAATGTAAAAAATCTCAACACGCTCTCTGAGTTGTAATAAATATATCATCTCAGGTACTTATACTGCTGCATGGGCATCTGTTTTCTTTCTTGAACTCAGCTTTGTCAATAAGGTCCAATGGTTTTCAATTAGTTTGGAATGATTGCAGAGTAAATTAACACCTGAAACAATATACCATGTAGACTCATTACTGAGTAATTTTCTTTGTGTGAAGCAAACATATTGATAACAGTCTCTAGGTATGCTGAATTTATTTGAGATTTAGAATGCATAGATGGTCTGAAGTCCATTCATCTATAGTACTATGTCCAGAAAAATAAATTCCTGCATTTGCTACTTACTTGTCTCTATACAAACTTTATGTTCTAACAGAAAATATGTCTTTAAGTTGAGGTAGAGCTTCTATGGAGATCTGTGCACTTTATTATATGTTTTCTTTGTAAGCTTCCAACCAATTTTTTATTTTAGAAATTATGCAATTAGTTTACCTTTATTGAAGGTCATTTCAATAAAGGTTGACTTATACCACATCTACCTATTTTTTACACTGATAAATAAATCTAGCAATAGGATTATTTGGAATTATCTTATTTCTACTTACTACAACAGAATCATGTGAGTATAATCTTAGTATAAATGGGTTAGAATCAAGTTCATAGTTATAATTATAGTTGGTTTCTCTGACATTTCTCTCATAATAAAGCTTGCTTTCCAGATGATCATACCTCACATGATTAGAGGTGTTAACAAATGATCAAAAACAATTTGCAGTCTTTTAATTAAAAATGTCTCAATCCACATGGTAGTAAGGCACCAGAAAATAACAGCTACAGGACAACCCTTGCTAGTGAGAGCACTGTGAATGAATGACAGAAGTTGGAATTAAAATTTATTACTGTTTTAAGATAAACATTTCCTTGGTTTGAGAGTCATTCTGGGTGGTTACTCTAAATTAATATCAAGACTGTACAATTACACCAGAACACAAGGCAGATCTGTAGATGGTGGACACCAGAGGACTGGAAATATGGAAACCCTTGAGTTATGTGATATCAGGAAAGATAGAACTTTGGAGAGATGGAATTCAGAAGTGCTGAATTCTTTCAAACCATTAAGTAAAGATCTCGGTTTGTCACAAGGATGATGAAAAATATTGTTTTTCTCTTCTCTTACACCTTGTTTGTGCTTACAATTGTGCAGAGGAAGAAATTTTATTGTTGATAAATAAGATTTTACATTTCACTTGAAGAAGCATACATCCCGGTAAGCTGGCAAGTGCCACAATGTAGATGAATGAAAGCACAGCTTTTCTATATCCTTATCTAATATTTACGTTTAACAGTTTAAAGCTGGAAATGATGAAGTGATGAAGTGTGCATAGGCATATGTAATAACAAACTGTACCATGCTTGTCTGAACAGTTTCCTATTTTATTTACTAAGCTACTCCATTTCCTGAAAAACTTGGAGAAATCAAGAAAGACTCAAGTGACATGACAGGTGTTTTCTTTGCCTGATATGAAAAACTGGGAATGCTGCATCATAAAAAGCAAAGAGAGGGAGGGGAAATTCCAGGGTTGTCAGATGCATCACCTGTAAAGAATCCCTTACACGTAGAACTTACCTTACCCACATATTGAGTATCTGGACCTGTGTACTCTTCCAGCAAGAAAAATTGATTCCACATCCATCCACGCTTGGTACGATGCAGTGTTTTTCCATCATTCTCTGACAGTCTTGTTGTCCTTTCACTGTGTGAATACTTGTTAGTTCTTTTTTGTGATGGCATCATATGAATACTATGAAGCACAGAGCTCCAAAGCAAAACTGTCAAGAAGGAATAAGCCCCCATCATTTACAGAGATGCTATTAGACTCCACTTCTGTAATAATTCACCAGACAAAATTTTCAAATGTTATATTCCTCTTGGAAATAGGACCTAGGGAATGGAGAAAAGTGTTTGAGAATATTGCAGTCTAGCAATAGCCTAGTGATCAAGACAACGACCCATGCAAATTACATAAAACTGTATGAATAAATAACAGTTGTGTATTTGAAGCTTTTCTTGAGACAATTACATACAGGAATTAGAGTGTAAATTTAAGTCCTTTGATGCTACATTCATCCTCTTCCATTATACATTCTCACAGTATAGATAGACAGTAATTTAAGACATTAATTGAGTAAAATGCCTTTGGTCATAAAAGTTTAGCAAACAGTTTCTTGTTCAAACAATAAAAATAGTCATGTAGTAAGAAAACTTGTAGTCTAACCTCTTCCATCTCAGTCCAATGGAATCTTCTTTTATTATCTGCAAGTCTGAATATTCTCTTATTTTGTGAACAAGAAGACTCCCTATTGTCAAATATCCAGAGAATACATTTCAGTTTCTGCATAAAGGAGCTCATGATAGAAAATGAAATTTAAAGTATTATTGATGACTTTAACAAGTTTCTTTGCAAGAGTGAGTTAGGAAAGTTTTTTTTATCGGAATTCTGCTGAGATTTGCAAAATTCTACTTTTGGGTCAGAATCGTGCATGTGCTGTGTATTTATTTTTTCAATATGGGAATTATATGAAATTGAATTGAAATAAATTTCAGTTTATTTTTTCAACAAATGGGAAATTTCATTACATAGAATATTGTTATTATTGATTCTTACATAGATACTGATATTTTCTGTAGAAGTTTAGCTTCTTGTAGAAGAACACAGCTTATCCAAAATCTTTTTTTCATATTGTTTTGGTTTTTTTGTTTGAAATGGAATAGTCTTAATTTGGCAATACAAGTGAGATTCCAAGTGTCTCAGTCTCTTTTATAACCTGGATTACCAGGAAAACATGCTTTAGTTTTTGGATATTCTTATCTGAGCTGTGATGTGTATTACAGAAAATCTAGTTAAACAGTACAGCACCTAAAATATCAGGAAGCTAGTTCATGGACAGTGGTAGTGACAAGAAAGCATGAGAAATTTTAGAATACTGAAATTCTAAAATTTGCCAAAATGTATATACCCATCTTACTTTCTCTCAAAACTCTAACAGAAGCTACCTTTACTTTTTAAAAATTATTTTATTTGGAGGATGGAGATGTCTTTTTCAATGGGAATTAATGGAAATAGGATTTTTTTAAAATGAAAGTTATCAATTAGTTGAGAGCCAAAGTTATTTAAGAAAAAACATTCCATGAATAATATTCTAAATGCTTTAATGAGTTCATAGATAAAGTTGTGCCCTTGTGTGGAGTTCTCCTTAAAATTGTGATATTTTTTGTGGTCTCAGGATCTTAACTGTCAGTTTGAAAGAAAGATCAAAGTCTTAGTATTTTAGTAACTTCAAACAGCTTTATCTGAGCAAGAAGTGAGAGCATAGTATATTTATCACTCTCTAATATGTTTAAAATCAAACAACAAAAAAATCAATTTAATAGGTGTCAAATTTATGCAGAAGATTATGGATATAATACAGGAAAAATTTTATTTTATTTTGCTTTATTTTAATTGAAGAATCAGAGCACAAAGTAAATTCAATTTACATAAAATCCTGCACATGCATCCTGTACATACATCTTGGCACACATTAGTGGATGTGGTTTTTTTGGATTCTGTAGGTACGCTCAAAATCTTATTTTCTATCTTTTAATGTCCAATATGATCCTGTTGAATGTGCAAGGACAAAAGGCAACTCTCCTGTGGCTAATTTAATGTCAGTAATTTTTGACATTGTGAAATAGTTCATGTTAGATACGTTATGTGATTGCCTTCTTCCATGCTTATTCCATAGAGATCAAAAGAGATTGATAAAATAAACCAACAAATAATAATTAAAAAAAGGACAATATTAAGTTCAATCTTTTATGCTGATTTTAAATGTCTAAATTTAATTATTCTAATTCCCTGTAAAACATAGACAGAAGTATTTTTTATCATTGAATATAACTGTCTATCAGTGTATCACATAAAACGTGGTTATCTGGACCACCAAATGCATCACCATTCAGGGCCTATTCAGACTCTGCAAATATAATGCTTGAGGTATTGTACAATAGCAGTAAAAAGAAACAGCAGCTACTTTTGAAAATACTCTATACAAAGAGCAGATCTCCTCGTTTGTAAAATGACTCTCAAGGTTCCTGTCTTAACCTTGGAAACGTTGCTTGATTTGTCTTAAAACAGTACTTTGTCTTTCAGGGTTGTGTTATATTATTTATTTGCTACATTGCAGTTCAAGGATTCGTATTATATGCATTCTGAAAATAAAAAACGTGCAAATATATTGATCAAACTTTGGATTTGATTGCTTTTGCTTTGGATCTGAATGATATGCTGAAACTTAACTAAATGTTCTGGCTTTATGTACTTTAATTCATTACTGATAAATTTCTCTAATTGCTTGGAGTTTATTAGCTCTTCTACATTAAAAAAAATAAAGTAAAATTCTGAAAACTACATATGTATTTGGCAAAGATTTAATGCATAGTTAACCTAAAAAGCAGAAAATCCTAAAATACACGTAAAATATATTTATCTTCTGAATTCATTAGTCATTATTCAAAATTATAGAAAAATCTAACACTCCAATATTTTAGATTGGTTTATTGTTATTTATATATTTAGAAACAGTACTGGGGGAAAAATTGTGACTGTCAATATATGAGGGCTGCTCTGAAAGTAATGCCTTCCATTTTATTACATCGGGTCACAACATCAGAGATGGATATTGGTGGTATGGCAGTAGAGGTTGAACCTCCCCACCATGTTTCCACTACATTTTATTGCTTTGTGACAGATAGCAGTAAAGGGGGATCTGACCTGGAAGCACATATGGAGCATAGATGTTACATAGACCTCCTTCTTGTGGAAATAAATGGCACCCACTGCCCTTCATCAACATTTACTAAATATTTATGTTTGTGGATGTGAACACAGTGATGTGGTAGGTGGCATGTTTCAACAGTGATGGCAGAGACAGTGGCTCACCTCCGCTGGCGCAGATTTTTACAGTTCTGAACCATGCAGACCCTTGCTCACCACTGGTGAATATGGCAGTGACTATGTTGAAAAATAAAGCATTTAGTGACTGAGAATTTTCAATATGAAATGCTGTTATTACACTCTTTGTATCTGTTGTACTTTTCATGGAAATAAATAAGAGGCACTATTTTCAGAGTAGCTTGTATTTTCAGGTAGTCATTTGGAGATGTGTGAGTGTATGTTCAATTTTGTGATATCAAATGGAAGTAACATAGGAAAACTCAATTGTTTAATTTTTGCTATTTCAAAATGAAACATTTAATTTTCTCAAACTCTCCTTATTCCTTTCTGTCCAAAATCAGTGTGCCATACTCATTCAAATGCATTATATGCATTAGATGCATTACACTTTTCACTGTACTAAAAGAAATCCTGCAAAGTGGCTGTTGGTTTCTGCATCTTGTCTTACAGTCAGCTCTTCAGGTAAGTCAGGATGAACACTTGGAAGGTTCAGAAGGCGTATTGTTACGCTGAAACAAAAGTTTCTGGAGCAGTCTGGAAAAGCAAGAGTAGATGCCAAAGGGTCCACAATTTGCAGTGTGTAGGTGGTCTAGATACACTATACAGAATTATTTCTTTCAAATACCAGCCTTTTAAAAAGGGAAAACTCCTCGGAGTATTATCGGTTCCCGTATTTAACGTGGTTTTCTGTGTAGTGCTGCCCTCTACTGATTTCCTCGCTAATTAACAGAAGGACTTACTACTCATCAAGAATGATGAAAGCCTGATTTTGAAACGACTAACAAATACATAAATAAATAAAGCCCGTTCTTTCCCATGGTAGGATGTTCTAGCTGTAAAGAGAGATTTATTAGTCTAGAGGATTCTGGATCTGCTAAACATTACAGCAATTAGATTTCTTCCAAGAGGAGAAAAGATGTTTTGTCTGAAACCAGAGAGCACAATTTTAATGATTTTTGCTCTCAGTAACTGGTTTACGTTATATTCACAATCCTTATTGCTTCACTTCTGCTTCCAGTATTTAGACAATACTAGAGTCAATTTATTATTCTTGTTAAATAGTGAAAAATCTTTTTTTTTTTTAGGTACATTGGAAACTTCCTTAAGATGAGCTATTCCCATACTACACAGTTTAATGCCTTAAATTGTGGAGAATTTTGGTCTTTCCCCACTCAGCCAATCAGAGCATCTGAGTGGATTTGATTTTTACACTTTGAGGGATCCATGGTGGCTACCTGGAATCATTACAGTCTCACTTTGCAGGAAGGACTCTGACATCAGAACCCTGCAACAGTTCCAGATAAATGAATTATGTCTATATAAAAGACATGATTATCCTGAGCATTATAGAAACTAGGAAAAAAAAAAAGTATATTTTTAAAGTCCTTTTGAAAGTAAAATATTCTATTTAGATTCTCCAGGTGTAATGTGCAATAAGACCTGCTGGGATCAATAGCAAGGATTTGTTAGCAATGATGCCAATTTAAATGTTTCTATAGCAATAGCCGTGGCAATGTTTTTAATTAGTACAGCACAGTCACTCACAAGCATGACATGAAGAAAGGCTAACCTTCAGCAACTTGATAGTACATCCCACATCAGTTTGTTTCATTTGTTAATAGTGAGGTAAAAATTTGTTTTTAAAGACATGGGCTGCAGTGCTCATTTACATCTAAAAATAGCAGAGTAAAGTGCAGCAGCAGCAATTCATGTTGCTCTCACCATGTTTTAAATAGAAGGGATGCAACTGTCTTCACAATGATCCATACAATCTGTAAAACTAAGATATGTATTTAAACAGTATATAACGAATGTAAATCTTCTGTAGCCTGTATGTGTTTCACTGACTTTGGCTATG